CCAGATACTGTAGCGATGGAAGCTGTAATATAAAGAGTGTCTACACGCGCAGAGCGAAGCTCGTCGATCAAAATGTCGGTAATGTTGATGTTATAATTTGTTTCTTTTCCAGCAAACTCTCGGGTGCCAATGGAGGGATGCCACCATATTGAACCACCAGAGAAGTCGTTATAACGAGTATCGTATTTGCCGACAATCTCATCGGTGATGGGTGAGCCCAAATACCCACTTCCTCCGCCAAGCGCCATCCATCTTTTGTAAATATTCCCAGCTACCTTAACCGCACCACGCTGGAAGTTGGGATTAGTAATCGCTCGCCAGATAACAAAGATGAGGGGTTTAAATCACGTTGATCAACAAGTAGGACATAATTAAATTTTGAAAGTCGGAACTGGGAAGTGCAAAGCCAAAGTATCAAACTTGCTTACTTCTGGGGTTGAGAATATCGCGCCACCGCCAGAGAATCTGTTGAAACGACACACTCCGTCGGGCGCCAATTCCTCGTCTGATACAGGATAGCCCAGACCCCCCAACTCGCCACCTGTAGCCATCCACTTCTTGTAGATGTCTCCATAAATCCAGAATGCCCCGCGAGTTACAGTGTAATAGATAGCTCCACCGTGTGAGAACATATTGAATCGAGTCACTCCGCCGGGCGTCAATGTTTCCTTCACATATGAAAATTAGTGCCTATTCAGCATCGAAGAGTGAAAGAAAAGCGACAAATTGTATATAATATTATAAGTTGTCGTCGAAACGCGTCAAGACAGGGCATCTCTAATACTCACGTCAGAAACTGGATACCCCATTACCCCTTCAGCCCCATCCATAGTCATCCACTTCTTATAAATCTCATCTTTCACTACGCAAGTACCAATCTTAGAATTGCAATAAATAGCACCTGAAGTGAAGTTATTGAAACGGCAACCACGGTCCGAAGTCCATAACTCGTCTGTGACTGGACTTCCCAGCTTACTTCGATCCCCACCCAAGGCGATATACTTCTTGAGAATATCTCCATGCACCTCATAAGCAACGGTAGCTTTCCCAAATGCATCTGCTTGGGCAAAAATTGTGGCATTTGAATAGGGGCGAGAATATCCATTCTCATTAATGACGAAGCCCCCCTTTGGTGGCCCAATCCATAGCAAAGACGCGGCCTTTTTAGCTATGAGATCTACAGCAGCATCTTGGTTATGCAAAAGCTGTTGGAACGTGGGGTATTCCGAATCATCACACTCCGGATACTAAAGTATCTATCGTAAGCCTTGCTATTATACATATTGTATTGATGTATACTAACATGAACTGATATTCTGAACGAAGCAGAGCGATGTGACGACATAGCTCATGTTTTGACGAGCACAGAAATTTCTGATGGGAGTGACAGTTTATGTATATAAGCAAAATGTATAATAGTAAAAGACATTGCGTCCACAGAAAAGTCTCTTTCAGCGGAAGTTGCCCGGCAATAAAGCAATTTACCTCCCAGAATCAGCAATCTCATTGGTCAATCGAATCCATAGATAGGTCATTGTCAACAAAGGTACCAGAGCTTGTGAGCTCATGGATTTGAGTGGTCAAAGGATGTTATCTATCTCCTTTGACGCAAAAATGTTCGGAACGTACCGATTTCGAATTCCCCACGAAAGAGGAATCTTGCGAATGAATTGCGGGTCTTTTAAACAATAGTAACCTGCAGCTATGAGGAAATTAAACTGCCGGCTCATTTTGAATGTTTTGATAATTTTTGTCGAGGCGTTGAAGTTGTGGAAGGCGTGGCCGCGCTTACTAGGCGCGCTGGAGACGCACAGCTAGGCATTCGTATGACTTCATATTTAATTGCACAGCCCATTTCAACACAGCCATGATTTGAATCATGAATCAACATTTTCATGCTTATAATCACTATTTGGTTCTTCAATTACAACAACCTCCATAAACCTTTTGAATATGTGTTTCGGAAGCAAATTGAAGGGCGACGCACCAACGGGATTTGACAACGAGAACCTCAATTCACGACCAGTCAACACGATACCTCAAAGTAAAGGTTCAATGAAAATGCCGCAGAGTGAATCTTATTCTCCCCCAGCGGGACCACCTCCTTCACAACAACATGCGCCCTATAATGATCAATATGCACCCCCACCTGGTCCCCCACCTTCGCACGAATATACCCCTCCTTCGGGCCCACCACCGTCGCAAGCTCAAGCACCATATCATGACTGGCAGACCGCAGTTCCCGACACATCTCTTCTACCCCCTCCCCCATCTATGGGCTATCAGCGAAGCGATGCAAACAACGCCACCGAAGAAGAAGCATTACAAGGGAAAGCATGGTGTGAACAGAATCCTTTGACACCACCTGTAGAGTTCCCACAAGCAGCTCTAGAAGCACTTGATGCTGCAAACATTGGTGTCATTAAGCCAAGATCTTACAATGGTGATATTTCGCGTCTACGACAGGGTGTTTGGGCGGGAAAGACAAAGTCCAACAGCAAGGATTCATGCATTATTTCTACACTTCCGCTATACTCCGTATTCGCGCATTCACCTTTACGAACTGAAATAGGCAAGACAATATACTTTGAGGTCAAAATATCTAATAGATATCGCGGAGAGATTACTTTGGGATTAGGATTTGTTGCGCAACCATACCCAACCTTCAGATTGCCTGGATGGCATCGAGGAGCACTAGGCGTTCACGGGGACGATGGTCATAAATATATCAATGATCTCTGGGGTGGTAAGGACTTTACAAATAAATTCCAAGCCGGTCAGACACTCGGGATCGGAATGGCTTTCACTCCACGGAATGTTAACAATCCTCCTGCTTACGATTCTGGACCAGCGCAGACCACGGCCCAAACTCCTATTAATGTTGAGATTTTCTTTACCAGAGATGGTAGAAAAGATGGCGGATGGAATCTTCATGAAGAGGGTGATTCTGTAGAAGATCTCCCCGTCACAGGATTGGAAGGTATGCACGATTTATATGCCGCTGTAGGAACATTCGATAATGTCGAATTTGAAATCGTATTTAATGAAAGGGAATGGATGTATCACCCTTGATGGTCATCAGAAACATTTGGGATTCAGTTTCTAGGAAAGGACATACTAACACGGGAGAGTCCGATTGCATAGAGTCACTCGGATGATGTAATCTCAAATTTAAAGAGATACATAGGATTATTTCTGTCTAATTAATCTAATTCCCTTCTACCTAATACAAATAACTCTACACAAGTATCCTTTATAGCATGGCGGTTCTCTAAGTTTGGTGCCTCACCATGACTTTCAGATCCCAAATGATCTTGGCTAGCTTACCAAGCTTCATGCTCTTCAAATGCTCTTCTTTTCTTCGTTCTAAAGATTTTCCCATCAAACTACACGATTCTAAGGCTGAAATCAGAGAAAGAACAAAACTGCATTCATTTTCGGGGGAAACGGGCCCCAAAGTGTATTCCGATTGCTTCAGTCATGATTTTTGCGGTGAACTTAGAAATTCAAGTTAGATTTCCGAGAGCAAGTCCTAGAACATAAGTTCAAGAATAGATTACACAATATAGCTTCAATACTCGAAGTGATTTCTCCTTCCAGGTTCATGATCAAACGCAACGTATTTGGCTCTGTATAGATTTCCATTTCGTGAATAACTTATGATATACAGGCATGATTATGTTCTTCTCCGGATGCTCAGTAGTGCAGATTGAACTTTCCTGGTGGTTGGAGGATCGGTCTACTGCAATCTCGATCGCCGCATGGTTTGACATTCATGAAAAGTGCTTTCTTACCACGTGGAGGCTTTTATGTTGGATGAAAAGTCGAAAGTCGAAGCCACTCGTGGCGTTCTGGACCAGAAGCCATACCTAGGTACCTATGACTCATAATTGGGCAGGCTAAAGTTTTACACTAGAGCCACAGATCGCTAAATTAGGAGAAAAAGCTTTTCTGTACCTATCTTCATAGGCACTTCTAGCCCAAACCTGACGTATTTGCTAATCAAGTAGCAGGACGATAACAAAGTCCCCATTACCAACAGCTTGGTACTTATACAGTTCTATTTCTTCAAGAACCTACGGAAAATCATGTTTCTAGGATTATTCTCTAGTCGTGAGAAATCAAGCCACATACACTAGACAGAAGAAGCTGTCCAGCCGGAAAATAGTGGATCATCTCAACAATATTCAATCGTGTAGTATTGATAAAGCCAAGCGGTTGAATAACAAGCTGTCAAAGTTGGGGCTGATTCAAGGGGCAAGCTAGTAATTCTAGTTTCGCTCCATATGGCGCTTGTAACGGTTTTTACTGTGGTTCAAATTTGACGCACAAAAATTGCACATAAATTGAAAAAGTGAATCTTTGGATGTAACTCAATGCTATGCATTGAATTTTTTTCTGAACAGTGATTGTGATATTTTAATTGACTCAACGATTAATCAATTGCATTCAGAGGCACAAGTTGGAGCGAGTTGTATATAATGATAGCCGTAACATTCTAATACAGTACCTTCGATACGAATGAACCTCCAAACGCCAAACATCATACCTCATATGTACCCCATACCCCACACTACTCAGGAACTACCAAGACTAGTCCGTATCATTTTGATCTAGTACCAATATTCAACCTATGAGCTCGCCTTCGATAGATCTTGGTTCGTTCTAGCGTCTGTTTAGCACGGCTGCTTGTGATTTACGGCGTCATACAGCAGAAAAGTCTTCATTGTCGCTTAGCCTTACACACCGTACGCTGGCCCAAATTCTAATTCTCAATCTTATAAAAGAGTCCGTCTTTCCCAAGTTTCCCCTTCTTTTTTTCTTTCTCCAGCTTAACAGTCAATCTTCGAATATCTCCAACATTTACAACATCTACCACCTTCGACCAAACTCATTTATTCGTATCCAGTATCTTCTGATTGCCCTGATCTTCTAGCTAAAGATCACACCTCTTATATCTAAACTTTTTAGAACCTTACTTTACCACATCTACCAGAAAGATGGGTGCCGGTCAACGTCGTCGTCGTGCCGCAGAAGCTGCTACTGCAGCCCTCGCCTCCGCCTCAGTACTCTCCTCTTCCTCCCCTACCGAGTCCATGTTTGACTCCTCTACCGCTAGCTTCACTTCTGTCACCTCCTCTCCTACCACGACTCCTTCGTCGGCCCCGGAGACTCCATCCATTATTGTCGATGAACTATCGAAGAACCTTGCATCCACCTCTATCAATGAGGTAAGTGACATGGTACCGGCCAAACCATATGTCTTCATTGCAATTGACCTCGAGGCAAATACGCATGACTACACATGCTTTGCCAACAACAAGACCTATACCCGAGGTACGCCAACCCAAATTGGCATTTCCATTCTCCGAGCCAATGGCAACAATGCGGCTCTCTTTGCAAGCGATCCCAACTCCCCGGCTGGCACCACCTACCGCCACCTCAAATTCAAGGAGTTCGCCAAGTACAGAACCAGAATCGGAAAGCTCAAGGCGGGCGAAAAGGTCGAATTCCTGTATGGAAAAACTGAGATTGTTCCTCTCGCTAGAGCTAATAGCCTCCTCACAAAGCTCATTGAAGATGAGCGTCGACACGGTGAGGTAGTTTTGGTTGGTCATGCCATCCAAAATGATCTCAAGATCTTGGGAATGGGAGGAATTACCGCCTTCGACGCCCTTTTTCCGGAGGCTGTGGACACCCAGGCCATACACCTTCCACCAGGAAGCAAGCAAGGCAGAAGCTTGATAAATCTGGTGCTGGGTTACGACAGTTCCATTGAAACCGGCTGGCAGCACAATGCCGGTAACGATGCCGCCTGGACCCTTTGGGTCATGGCTAAGAAGCTCCCTAGCATTCTCACAGTCTCGGAATCTGGAAAGGAGATGGTGCTGGACAACTCGAAGACTCTTAGGTTTGCGCCAAGAGCCCAATTCAACGACTACGACTACGACGATATGTATGATCTTTAATAATCATCCATTCTGAATCTAGTAGTTTGGTTCGGCGGGAAATCTTGTCTATGACTGCACGGAGTCATAGGACAGAGCTTTGGGGGGGGGGGGGGGGTTAGGAGGAGTTTTTAGAAAGGAATTTTTTAGGGAGGAGTTTTTTGGGGAGGAGTTCTGGTTTGCCTGAGCGAGGCTTGTTTCTTTTGTGGATATATCACAATGTACAACACCATAACTTAGCGAGATTATGATATTTGTACATTTCATATCCATTGAACTAATACACTAATATACATACAAACTACCATGTTCATAAGTGAAATCTATTTCCGTGAAGTTTTCAGTTAAAGTGAGAAAAAAGCACCTAGGTATTATTAGTATCGTCAAATTACGGTCTGTTGTCTTTTAAAGTCTTTGAAATCCGATGATTGTCCCGTTTCATCTCGTTGTTCTTATTTATATCATTTTTTCGATTCATATTATTACTCTACTTTATATTATTATTCTACTTCATATCATTATTCTACTTCATATTATTATTCTACTTCATATCATTATTCTACTTTATATTATTATTCTGATTTATACTATTATTCCACTTTCAGTTACTTTTCTACTTCATACTATATAATCTCTTCCATGTCTTCACATTATTATATAATTCTTCTATACAATTATATAATTAATATTTCAATCTAACGTAGAAAAAGCATACCCCTAACGCGTTATTCTAACATTTTCGTAAAACCCTCTGTATTATAATCTTTTCGCTAGGGTCTAGGATATATACCCGATTTTATAACGTGTGTCCAAAACCTAATTTTTTAATGCTTTTTATAAAATACTTCAAAAAGTTGTAATATGTATTTATAGTCTATTTATTTTATTAAAAATTCTATAATTAAATATTCAATTATTATAGTAAATATATTAAATTAAAGCTAGAGTTTAATTCTATTATTTAATTGTATGCGAAGTTTCTATAATGCCTTTTTAGCTTAATTTCTTCAATTCAGAAGTAATTGATTATGTATTAATGTATTGGGAAAGATCTATTACTTCTAATTATTATAAAATAATTATTTCAATTTATAAAACATTTATACGAATAGTTAAAAGGTATTTGAATTGTATTAGAAAGGGGGAGTCTAAAAAACAATTATTAGAAGATTCTATTAATATTATTATATTTGAAATAGATAATGTTATAAGGGAGGTTTATAATAAACTATTATGATTATATTAAAATAAAATTGCAGATTTTCTTTAAAAGATCTTTGGTATAAAGATTAGTTGGTTAATAATCTTTAAAATATTCAAACGAATAAACTTTATTAGGAAGTAATTAGTTGTAGAGATTGTTTAGAGAAATATTAAATTAAGAGATAATTGGATAAATAAAATATAATATTTTTAATAAAATCAATTAATTTGTTTGAACAAATCTGGTAATGATAAGTATATTAATGATTGCAAATATAGATATAATCAAAAAGAAACTAAAATCAAAGTATAAAAGTGGTTGGTAAATTATATTAGAATTTTTCTATTGCTGGTATATATTATTGATGGATATATTAAGTTGATTATCTTTTTAGGTATCCTTGATGTAGAACTCTTCTCTAATTTTGTTATTTATAATGTTATTTCTATGTGTAATTCTTATTTTATTGTAAAATCTGTAATTCTAATAAATGATGTATTAATTTATTATATATTTATGAGTAATATTGAAGTGGTAGTTAGAGAGAAAGAAGTTTTAATTTGATATCTTTTATTATATTTATTTAATTTATATTTTATCAAATCAAGCTTTGGTGATTTGAAGAGTTTTATATATTGGTATTATTGTATAGAATAATTGAAATATGATATATATTAAAGCTTTTTAGAATAGGCTATAAAAGAGTGTTATATAGGTATAGAGGTAACTAAAAGAGTAAAGGTATATTTTTTGAATTGTAGAATATATTTATAGTATTATTAGTTAGTTTAAAATGTGATAAATACTTTTTCTATGTGGCTGTTAAATTATTAAAAAGATTATAAAATTATGATATATATGAATAACCATTCTCTTTTAAGTCTTTTATTTTGTATCATTTAAATTTAAGAATATATTGCTTGTATTTTCTTTTTGTTAATTCTTTTAAAATGTTTTAAAAGTATTTATATTCTTTTTAATGTTTATAAAAATATTATTGGATATTCTAGGAAGAAGTGTAGAATCTATAGCTTTCAATTGTTTTAGGGTAAGGAATTTATTATAAGCTGATTCCATGGTATCCTTGATTACTTTTTATTGAGCTAGATTTATAATCTTATTAGTTAACTATATTTTATATTCTTGTAGTATATATGAATCTTCTTTAGTATAGAGTAATGAAGAAGTAGGTGTAGAAGTGGGAGCTAGCTTTTGAGAGCTTTGAGAAGGTGGTGTAGCAGATTGATTATTTGTATAAGGTGGGAATTGTGGTGGGAATTGTGGTGGGAATTATAATAGAAACTGTAGTGGGTATTGAGGTTGATAACATTATGGTGGTAAAACTGGTGGTAAGGCTGGTAGTGGAGTATGGTCTTGAGAAGAAGGATTGTGGATATTGATGATAGGAGTGGAAGTGTTAGTAGGGGTAAAAGTGGATTTATTCTTTTTCTTTTTTTTATTGTTATATATTTTTATAATAGTTAGATTCCTTTTAACAAATTATTTTACTATTTATTTATATAAAGATCTATTTAGGCTAATATGTTTCCTTTTGTGTGTAATATAATTAGTCTATTCAAGCTGTTCGTTTATTATTACTATATAATATATTTTCTTATTAGAAATCTAACAGCAATAATCGAAATTAGAATATTTATACTCTTTATATCTCTACCATTTTGAAACTATTTGATATAATTATTTTATTTTAAAACTACTCTTTTTCTAGATATCCATTCTTTGTAATACTTGTTTTGTAATAATATTCTGTTTACTTTTTTAATCTCTTTTCTCTTTTTCTTTCTCTTTTTCTTTTTCGATATTTATATCTTTCTCATTACATTCAGAACTTGAATCAAGCTTTATTTGTCGAATTTGTTTATTACTTTTTTCGAATCTCTTTTAAGAATAGAATTAATTATATACTTTTTAAATAGATTGAAGTAAACTTTTATTTTTGTAAAATTAAAGTGTTTTTTATTGTTATATTTTTGTAAATATAAATTACAAAGTATTTATTTCTATTATATTTAATTCTATATTACAAACTTCGTCTCATTGTTTTTTATAGAACCTATATAGACTATTTACTTCCTTAAAATAAGTCTATCTTTTATTAATATATTTCTTATATTTACTTAATCATTTATTTCTTTTTATGAAGTTTCTAAAAAATTGATATAATCAAATTATATTGTATTATTGATATTAATAGTAAAATAAATTATAAAATAAAGTTTTTTATTAATATATTAGTTAAAAAAGAATTTAATATAAATATTATATATAGTATTTGTTAGAGTAGATAATAGCAATAAATCAATTAGGTATAATATAGCACAAAGACTTTTCATTAATTCTTTTAAACTATGAAAATTCTACAATTTATAATTATATACGGGTTAGCGTCAGTCTGAAGTAGCTTTGTAGGGGCTACTTATATGCTCTTATCAGTTTTTATACAAATTGATTATAATAGAATCCTTTATATTATATATTGTGTTTTGAGATGTATATATTTATTTCCTGAATTCAGTTAGTATAATATAAGAGAATAAGATGCTGAGTGATTGTATTCGAACTATATCCTAAAAGAAAACAAGAATATTATAAAGTTATAAATAATCAATAAATAATATTTTAATATATTTATTATTTTTACTGGTAGATTATTAAGGACTCTATAAATTTCTTTTAATTTCTCAAATTCTCTTTTTTTTTAGTAAATCATTTTTTATTATTTTTTTATTTATTTTTATTTTATTATAACTATTCTTTAATCTATCAATCTCTAGATAATTATAATTTGGTTTATAATAAATTCTATTAAATTGATTATCTTTATATATCTTTATTATTTTAAATATATTATATTCTTTATTCAAAAAGATTTCTATTATTATAATAAGGGTTCTTATACTAAGTATAATTATTATTATATTTAGAAAAGATTTATTAATTAATATTTTTTTAATATATTTCTAATATTAATTTACTATATCAAATTCAAGCTTTTTGGTAGATTATTTTTATTAATAATCAAAATAAAGAGAATGCTGAAATTATAATAATATATTGAAATAAGTGTTATGTTAGGAGTATAAAGACCTTTTTATAAAAAAAGAATAAGTAGAATAATATTAAAAAGCTAAAATTATTTAAAATATTATTTCTATTTATTATAAAGAAATTAAATTAAATAAATAATTTTATAAAATATTTTATAAATTCTTATTAAATTATTATTAATTATCCTTTATCTTTTTATAATAATATTTAGCTAATTTTTTAGATTCTAAAGTAATTTGCTTGTATTAAATATTATTATTTTGGGCTTTATTATAAGATTAATAGTTATAGTAAATTCAAATAATAAGAATAATTTTATGATTCTGATTGTTTATTTTCGTATTGTTAATACTCCTACCCCACCCTTTGCTTTTT